GAGTGATCATTCGCCGTAGGGGTCACCTTTAACTTTTTTCGGAACTAGCACCATAACTGCATTTGCAGGGCTGAAACGTTGGGAATACCATCTGGTTCTGACTCTTGTTGGTGTCGCTGACGAAACTTAGACGCATTTCAAAATGCATTCCACTTTTTATGAGCCCTTTGGGCTCGTTGAGCTCTTTTGAGCCACGATGTATAATAGAATTCTGCGATAAATGCATTCCTTTTAAACACTATACCGACCTACCTATTGGTATATCAACTTATAAAATAATCAAATCACTTTAGAAAAAAAGGTCGCCACATCTATTTTAAAGGAAATTGGAAGAGATTATGAGGGTATATTGATCAATCACAAAATGCTTTAACACATTTTTTAAGTTTGTTTTTCTCAAGAAAACTATTGCTATGCCCATCTTTGCCTTCCAAACAGTGTCTTTTCACCGTACCTGGTTGCATACTTTCTGGTGCCTCCGATATCGCCTTGCCCGACCCGGCTTGTGGTCTTGATCCTCTCACTAAATCTCTCCTCGGCCCTGTATATATTGTTGCTCGTGTCGACAAGGTGCTTCAGGGGGGTGGGCCCCTTTCTGCTCTTGAAAAGTACTCCAAAGTAGCTGCCAGTGGAAGTTCGATTTCGAATTCATGCTACAACGAGCTGGACTCTGGCGTTTCAACAGATTCGTTAAAGAAATCGTCCTCAATCTCTTCTGTTGGCACTATCATGGCCTCTAGTGGGGATGCCAGATCTGTCTCTCCTCAGCAGCAGTCACAAAACTCCATGATCAGCCTTTCTTCACAAAGTTCCAACACTAATGATAACGAACGTAGTCATACAATGACATCGGGTTCAGGAGAAACACGTCTCCAGTTACATCATTTGCAGCGACAGATGGTACAAGAGACGAAGGCAGCGGCCGGAGTCCACAAAACTATGATGGCCTACTGTCGAAACGTTGGAAGATACAGAATGCCGTTTGCATGGGGAGCTAGGTGGGACTCTTTTTTCTCTATTTCCTCTCTTTTGCTTGACTTAGATCCCTTAAATAA